GGCGCGCGCGCAGGGCGGCAGAGGGGCGGGCGGCGGCGGCGGCGGCGGGGACGCGGCGTCGCGGCCCGGCGCGGAGAGCGCGGGCGGCGGCATGGGCACCCGGCAGACCAAGGGCAGCCTGGCGGAGAGAGCCAGCCCCGGCGCGGCGCCCGGCCCCCGCCGCGAGCGGCCCGACTTCTGGGCGTCGCTGCTGTTGCGCGCCGGGGACAAGGCGGGGCGCGCGGGCGCCGGTTCGGGGCTGCCCCCCTACCACCGGCGCGTCGGCATGGTCCAGGAGCTGCTGCGGATGGTTCGCCAGGGCCGGCGGGAGGAGGCGGGGACGCTGCTGCAGCACCTGCGCCAGGTGAGCGCCGGGAGGGGGCGCGGGGGCGCCCCGCCCCTTCCCGCAGAGGCCCCGGCGCGCCGAGGGGCACCGCCCGGGCCCCTGCTCGCGGGGATGGAGCCCGGTCTGGCCGCAGGTGCCTCGGCGCTGCCCCTGAATTCGAGGCCTCGGGACAGGGCGGAGGAAGGCTGGCCCGGTGAGGCCCGCCTGAGGGGGACCTGTTGGAATAATGTCCCCGCTTCAGTCCTCCGCAGGCAAGGACTGAAGGAGGAGGAGGCTGGTCCCGGGGACGGTTCGTGGGAGGGGATGCCTGCCTGGGCCGAGGCGCTTTTCTTCCCCTCTACCCGCCGGCGGTCACCCCCGTCAAGGGTCCTCAAGGAATGCGCAGTCGTCAGCTTCCCCAGGGGGCGTCCAAGGGCGCAGCCCTGGGGCTGGTGAGATGTCAGTCTCCTGGAGGAGAGGCGTCCCGGATGGCGGTTCGGGTGGGCGACAAGGTTTTCTCTCCTGTGACTAACTTCGGCAGGCGCTCAGCCGGGGGCCCCCGCGGAGCAGTGGAGGGGGGCGGGGGGGGCTGGCCTGGGTTCCTACGTGACCGTCTATCTGCAGGGACTTCAGGAGGCTGCCTGCACTCTGCCCTCAGCCTGTTCCCGTCCCTGCCCCGCTGGTTAGGGACCGTCTTTGCACATCTGGCTGGTCTCCTCTGCTTTGGGGCTGTCCTGGGGCTGACGCTGTCCCCCACCTCTCTTTGGCTTTTTTCCTTCCTCACTTTCTTTTGAGGGAGGGGACGGCCTGCTCCGTGGATTTTGTGGAGTCGCAGAGAGGCAGGAGGGTGCACCTCCTGCATCCCCGGAGGTTGTCTTGGCGGGGCGTTGTGAGGGTAGCTGAGTCCAAGCCCGTATTCTTGCTAGATTGACGCCGTTAGTGGTGGAGTCCGGAGGGGGTGGGGGAGGGGGCCTCTCGGGTGGCCTTTCTGAAGTTCCTCCATCACTGATGAGAGAGGCTGTAGGAGAACCTTCCCGGGAGGAGCTTCCGAAATCGAATCAGACCCACATCCCTCCTGGAGTCTGCAGCAGACCCCCAACCCCCTTTATATGTGGTGTGGGTTACCCTGGAGTGTGTGTTCCCAAGGTGTGTGCTGTACAGGGAGAGGGAAGCAGAGGCTTCTGCTCTGGCCTCCACTTCCCCAAACAGCGTCCAGAAGGCTGCCTGAGATGCCACTGGATCCCCAGGTGCCTTCTCTGAGCCCAGTCATCAAAGAAAGATGACATTCCACACCACATAACTTTCTTGGTGTGTATTTCTTTGTCTTTCAAAAACTGGAAGCCAGTGTATGGCCTCTGTGGAAACTGTTTTGCTTTCAAACAGCATAATGGATTTTCCAGACCATCATATCCATTTGCACACCAGAGAGTGAGAAGGTTTTTCTGATCATGTGCTGTTCCCTCGCACTGGGGTGGGTGCTTCGGAGGATTCAGGACCGTGGAGGGGCTGACGGTGGAGGTCCAGACAAGCCCTTCTGGGAGGGTGAAAGAACACAGTGCCGCCAGTCAGTCCGCTGGGGCCTGCGGGGTGAGGCAGACCCTCGAGGCTGAGTGTGATTCCACATCCTGGGGAAACTCGTTTCGGAGAGTAGATGCATCCCTGTGACCCCCACAGGGTCCCTGAGACAGAGAGCATTTCTGGAGAGATAGCGTCTTGTTGGTGCCCTGACACCCTTCTCAGTGGCAGGACTGCGAGGGCCGATGGAGGGCAGAGGTTAGCCAGGCTCCCCCTTTCCTGTGAAAGCGGCAGCATAATTTGCCCTCCAGTCCCAGCCATGTGCTGGGCTTTCCTGATCTCCCGGTAAGGTCTGTGGGCCTCTCTGGAGCCAGTGACGGTCCTGCCCAAGGCGCCTGGAGAGCTGTGTTGCCTAGAACTTGCAGATCAGGGCCCCTCCAGGAAGTGGCGGTGGGCCCTGGGCGGTGTGGGAGGGGAGCCCCGGGTGTCCAAATGTCTGTGAGAAACCAGGAGGTGGTTTTTTAGGACCCTGAGGCTGTTTGGAGGAACGTAGAGCTGCATCTGTGCTGTGCACTGAAGTGGCTCTTTCTCCTAAATCGTATTTTCCTTTCCAGTTTCCTCCTCTAGGCTGGAGGTGGTGATGTTCAGAAAGGGAAGGAGAAGTCACTGAGAGAGGTGCAAACACCCGGGGCCTCAGCGCGGGGGGACCAGCAAGGCCTCGTCAGTAACAGTGGGCAGAGGCGGGGTGTGCAGAGCTCAGGGGCTGGTCTTGCTGGGATGCTGTCCCAGCTCCACAAGGTGCAGGGTGGCGTTGATGAAGAGAAACAGGCAGAGATGGTGGCAGCCCGACAGTCACGGCGTCCACACTTGCTGCTGTGTTTGACAACGTGTGTGGCTGCCCAGAGCCCAAGGGGGGGAGGAGGCTGGAGGACCTCAGTCCCTGTGGTTCTTCACCCCCTTGAGTCCGTGAGCTTTTTGTGGCCCTGGAAGAGTTCTAGACACTCTTCCCAGACCAGTGCAGCAACATTCACAATCTTGCAAGTATTTCGGAGGGTTCGCAGACCCCAAGTTCAGGATATGCCCCCACCTGGGACCTCCCCTCTCCCGACCATGTGACTTGCTACAGGCTCAGGATGTGGAACTAGAGACCCCGGGACCACGTGTGGCAATTCACGGTGGGCTGAAGGATGGTGGCTGCCGCTGCTGCCGCTTCTGAATCTAGGATTCTTTCCAACCTGAGGTTTGGGGGGTGGTTTCCCTGATGGGAGACTCTCCAGCCTGTCCATGCCTGTCCCTTGCCAGAGAGGAATCAGGAGGCCTCCTTAATGTTAAGGCTGCCGAGCTGTGCTGGGGGTGCAGGCAGGATGCCAGGAAGCTGCCAGCTGCCTGGAAGGAGCAGAGAGCCGCCCCCTTCCCTTTAGGAGCCCTGTCATCTCAGTAAGAGCCTGGGGCCAAGGGTCAGCTCGGGCAGCTTGCCTTCCTTCCTTCCGGTCCTCAGTCTGCTTTGACCTTGGACCCAGCTGATAACCACTGTGTGGTGTTTCCTTGTTTCCCAGAGGGTATCTGAGGTACTGAGCAGAGCAAATGCTACAAAGTGTGTGAAATTGCCTTGGTTCTGCAAATCAAGACTCGTTCTCCCGGCAACGATGATAAGAAACCAGAGAATCTGCTTGGGGTCTGGGTGGGCTGCGGGCAGGGTCTCATACCCTTTCTCAGGCCGGGCCCAGGATGTTTCAGATTCTGTCTACCTGACCAGGGCTCAGTCCGGGTCAAAAGCTCACTGCAAGTTCAGAAGCAGTGTGGGGCGGCGTGGGGATGAAAGAAGTCCGCTGTGGATAGAAGAGGCCGCTCCTCTCCCCTCCCCCGGCCCCGTTCCTGCAGGCCTCACCCTCCCCCAGATGTTGCTTCCTAAGTCTTAGGCTCACACTTGCCGTCTTCAAGGAGCCCTGGGGAGGAAGTAACCTTTGGTCATGGAGAGGGCAAGTGCCGGGCTACAAGGGAGGTGGGGTGTCATCTCTTCAGAGCAGTGGTTTCTCTGAGTCCCCAAATCCCAGACTGGGCCATCAGCCAGCTTCCTGGAGCACCAGAGTAAGGGCTCAGTTTCCCCGGGACACCCCAGGCTGAAGTGGCTGCTTCCTCCCTGCTTTCCCATAAAGAGGGTCTGATCGGGTTGGCTTATTGCCACTCAGTATGGCGCAGCCCCACTGAGCAGAGCTGTGCCAGGCTTAGCCCGACGGTGTGGCCCCTGGGAACATGAGCCTCACCAGCGGTGCAGAAAGGAACCCTCAGGAACCGAGGATGACTGGCTGCCCCAGGAGGCTGGCTAAGGGACGAGCACGTGGAGGGCCCTTGGGAACCTGGAGGCTGGGTGCTTTTTCCTCCGACAACCCCCCAAGAGGATTGCTTAGGCGAGTAGCTTGGAGGCCACCAGACAACGAGCAGGGAGTTCCCCACCCTCAGCCTCGATCTCGTTCTTCTGCGCCCGGGATGCACGTCCTCATCTCCGTGGAATACGCTCCTTACCTTTCCAAGGCCACCCTTCTGAGCCACGTCAGCCCACGACTCTCAGATCCGGTTGCCGGTTAGGCTGTGTGGATTTAATCGTCTGTACAGACGTAGTTTTCCCCGCTGTCCATTTTGTTTGTCAGGCTATGTCACATGCTTCCTGAGGGTGGAGACCCCACCACCGCCTTTGTGTTGAACACCAGCTGCTGCAATCTTGAGTGAGTGGTGTGCTGGGGATGCACTGTCACGGCATGTCCTCAGCAAGCCCTTGGATCTGGGCTGTGCATCCAGGGGCTTATTTGCCCGGCCTGCTGGTATGGTCGTGAGATCTGGCGAGTTTGCTGTCATTTGGTTGGATTCCTGGGAGCCATGTCCGCAGGGATCGGCTGTGCCTGGCAGCCCGCCAGGTGGTGGTGTTCTTGGAGAGGGGAGTGGCATGGTGCCCGGCCTCTGAGGGCTCCGTGGGGATCCCGCTCGGCAGGTGCAGTGTAGGGCCTCTGCTGAGGTGGCAGGAGAGAGTGGAGCCTGACTGGAGGCTGGCCTCCGCATTCCTCACTCGCTGCTTGTGCTGAATCATGTTTGTTCCATCCGCAAAGAGAAACCTGCCTTTTTAAATACTGCTGCTCTCTGACCGGGCTGGGCATTTCCAGGGCTGCAGAAGCAGGAGGAATCCCATGCCAGGGCCTGCTCTACTGGTTTCCAAGGCCAGGACACGGCCACCTCAGTATGGCCAGGGCTGGGCCAGCTATCCTGGCTTCAGGTCTGGTGCTGAGGGGGCCCTCTGCTAGAGCTAATGCCCACCCCCTCAGAGATGCCCACAAACAGCCTGGGCTCCACCGCGGACCCCCCCCCCCCCCCCCCCCCCCCCCAGCCACTGCACGACGGCGACTGAATGCAGGCTGTGTTGCGCGGGGGGCCGGTAGAATTTTTCGCGGGTAAATATTCCTGCCAAAGTTAGTTTTCAAGCCACGGGTCATAAATATACAGTATTCCAGCAAAAAAGTACAGAATGTCCTCCT